TGATGAAAGGGGTAATATTGTTGTCTGTTTTATTGTATGTATTTTTATTGGTCAATGACTGAAATAAATATGATGATGATGAAAACCCAGAATAAAAGACATGAACACTAGAGGCCTAATAACATGGCTTGGATTTGGGGTACCAGATGGAGTGGATCCCCCATAGCAACTTGCCTGCTACCTAGAAACATAAAGAAAATTAGTCTCTGTGTTTCATGTCAAGTTGAGGTGCAATTCATGGTGACAGGAAAGAAAGTTCTACTAATACTATGGCATTTGTGCAAGGAAGTTCAGATCACCCCTTGTTTCTGCTGGATACATCATCCCATCCACCAAATTGTTTCCTTCATGGTGCAGAATAAAGGAAGGATCACCTGGAATCCATCTTTCATCTCTATTCTCCTGCTGTTATGTACAAAAAAGGGTTTAAGTCAGAACAACCAAAGGCCACTCCCTTGGGGACTGTCCAAGCTAATTACCCACAGTTCTGTTTCCAGTGGCTCTGGAAAGTTCTGTGCCTTTTGATATACAGTTATTGATATTGATATATAACTAATGTAAATTGTTGCTTAATGTAAATTGTTGTAAATTCATGTCTCCCTCTCTCTTTTGGCTTTTGCCTGCCTTTTGACCTGTTTTGTCAGTTAAATGTTTTTGATGTAAGCTGACATTTAATAAGTAAAAATCAAGCTATATTTTTTGCTACCTGAGCTGAATGGCTAGCATGTGTGTGCTGATCTAGATATAGGGAACAACTGGAAGTATGCTAAGGAAAACTAAAGTGGAAATTTTAATTTCCACAATAATTTTCAACACTGCCTGTCTATTGCTTAAAACTGAAGATATTTTTATTCCAGCAGAATTTTACCTCCTAATGTTTTATTTAAAGGTAGGGATTATCTGGGGATCATTCATATTTTAGTCTGGTTTATATGTTTATATTTTTACAGAATGTAATGTTTATACTATAAAGTATTATAATTTTAAGGCACACTGAATGATGCATGGAAATCATTAAAAAAATTAAGCACTTTTTCTCTAAATCCATTAAAACCAGTCAATTATGTCTTCTAGAACAATTACTTCTATGGTGTAAATGCCACAACTGAAAAGGCACCACTACATCTGAAATAAATTTGATTTTTTAAACTGAGAGACCATTCAACAAGGCTTCATGTAATTTAGAGAACCCAACGGTGCTTCTATACTAAGCTTTGGTAGCTTTCTACCTGAAACGATTCACAAAGGCCACCTCATTAGGCCCATGAAGGACCAAACCAATTGCCAAAGCTCTTCAGTAATGGCCTGTAGCTATCTGTCACAATCACTCTTTTCCCCCTCAGGCCATTAGTAGATAAAACCTTACAAAAATCTGTTTTCTTCTAGGTGATGTAACATGAGTTGAATTCCACCTTTAAGAAGTGCAAAGGAATATTTGGTTACGGTAATACTTCTCTACTGTCAATATTTCTTTATGTACTGTGGCCATCACCAGTCTTCCTTTCTTGGTGCCAACTCTTAC